AGCGACAGCCGACGGACGCACAGAGCTACCCACCCATGGCCCGCAGCTGAAGGGGGCGTGTCTGGGGCGTGGCGGGGCGTGGCGGGGCGCGGCGGGGCAGTGGGCGTGTCGATGGCGTGCGGACTGTGCCTGTTCGATCCGAGGACGGTCACGAACGGCTCGGCGGGGCGTGGCGTGGCGCGGCGGGACGGGCGCGGCGGGGGCCTGGCTGCCGCGGGCAGGCCGCGGCGCGACGGCGCGGGGTAGGAGCGGGCGGGCGCGGCGGGGGCCCCGCTGTGCGCTGCGGCTTCTGCTGCGCTCATGCCGTTCGATCGAAGGCGCGCAGGGAAGTCCTGGAGCGGGCCCTGGAGCGCGTCCCCGGGATGTCCCCGAGGTGCCGCCGCGCCGCCGTGGTCCCGGGCGACAGGCGCGTCGACAGCTCCGAGGCCGCCGCCGTGTCGTGCGTTATCGCCCGTCTGGGACCGGCTCGCCGCGTTAAAGTGCGTGTATCCCACGCCTCGCCCCGCCCTGCCCCGCCACACCCCGGAATGCACCTCTAGCCGTAATCGCCGGTGCCGACAATTCGCTCGGGCAGCTGCTGCTACCACTGGAGCTACTGCAAGCTGCAGTCATGCGCTCCAGGCGCTCGCGGGGCGGGGCGGGGCGCGGCTCACAGGGGCGTGGCAGGGCGCGGCGGGGCCCGGTGGTGGGGTGCGGCGGCAGGATGTCATTACCGAACATGACACACGCTACGCCCCGCGTGCCCCGCCCCACCACGCCCCGCCACGCCCCGCCAAGCACACGTGTTGTTGGCCCCGCACAACGGAAAGGGTTCACAGAGACCGCTCGGCTTTTCCACACCAGAAGAAGAAGAGGAAGAAATTTTGTATTTTGGTGTTCTCCAGAGACTTTTTATTAATTTCTCTCCCGCACCTCCAATTAAAGTGCGCAGTGGTTGTCGTCGGCTTGGGCGGCAGGAGGAGGCAGGTGCCGCCGGGCAGCGGCGAGTCGTGCACCGTGCAGCAGTGCAGGGGAGTCACACTGCGCTGCCTGTCCGCCGCCGCCACCATGCCCCCCGTCGGCGTGTCCGGGCGCGGCGGGCGCGCTATATGGCCGTCACTATCGGGTGCAGCCATCGCGGGCCGACCGTCCGCCTCGCCTGGCCGCGCCCCACCGCGCCCCGCCGGACCGACCGGACCTATTCGCTCACGCGCGCGACATGGACAGCGGCGCGGCGTTCCGGATGCAGCCGCACAGTCACACACACACATGCACACGCGCACGAGAGCGAGCGCGCAGAGAGGGTTCCCACCCGCGCCGTGTGGAGCGGCTGTTCGACAGTGCTCGGCCGGAACTGGCTTGCCGGCAGTGCCAGGAAGCTAACATGAGTGGTGGGTGGCGGCGCGGGGCCCACCAATCCGATTCGGGGCCGGGGCCGTCGGCGAGCCAAAAAGTTCCCGCGCGGCGTGGCCCGGCGTGGCCCGGCCGGGATCCGAGCGGGAAGCATCGTCGTCGTCGTCGTCTGGCATTTTATCGGGGCGATAACCGAGGTTGGGGGGGAGCAGGCAGGCACTGCTTTGACACGGGCAAGGAGTATCATCGTCTACGCGGGCGGCTCGGCGGCGCCGCGACAGAGGCTCGCGTCCGCGGGTCCACACTGCGCTGATGGGTGTCCCCGCGATGTCACACACCACCACACGCGTCTGAAAAGAGCGAAGGAATTTTTTTCTGCCTTTTTATTTTTTTCTCGTTTTTACGACGATGTTCCCAGACAGAAGTCTCGGACGCGACTATATGGCTGCTCGGCTTCAGGTGTGCGACGACGGCACCTTGTGGATGTTCCCCCCGCCCCGCCCCGCCCGGCCGACCCTGACCCACTGGCGCTATGATGCGCTATCACACGCTAATGACACACGCTGCGCGCTCGCTGCCACCGCTTGGTACCTACCAGGTACCTACCTGCTCATGCTCTCCCACTATCTCCGTCTCTGTCCCACGCCCTCTTCTTCCCTTTTCTCTCTCACTCCCACCCCACCCACGTGTCCCCGCCTATGCGCGACCGGCGGAAATCCACCTCATTTCAAATTCGTAGCGCCCCTCCCCACTCTCGTCCGTCCACATCCGCTCATCCGCTCGTCAAAATATTTTACGTGGCGTTATTTTTGTGCGCTTTTCTCATGGAACAGCCAGCAGCGCCGCCGCCCGCGCAGTTTTCCGGAGAGTACCTCTCATTATGCTCGCGCCGTCCGCCCCGCCCGCCGCCGCCGTCCGCACTTTGTAACGACGCTCCTAACGATATGCGGCTCCCGGGGGCCTCGCACTACGCCACGCCACGCCAGGCCACGCCAGGCCACGACAGCTGTTGGGACACCTCGCGAGGTGAGCCGTCGTGGCGTCCCCCATTCGGATGCTCCGGGCGGGCAGCTCGCGTTCGAATCAACGTCGAATCCACACACACACACACACACACACACAGCTATCCTGTCGCTCCGCGGTGTTTTTTTCCACCTGAAAATTCCGCTTTTTTCGAAAGCAGTCCCGCAGTCCCTCCCAGAGTGACGACACGACACGCGCGGCCGTCAGGGCGCTCCTTGGCCCGGCGTGGCGCGCCAGTAGTGCGCTGTCCTCTCGGCCTCTTGTCCTTGCACGACGTGCTCGAGGAGGATCCACCTTGCTTCCTTATGCCGCCGCGCTGCCATGTTGGGGTCAGAGCGACACGGACATTACGGCTCCGATATGGGCAGCCGGAATACACTCTCGGGCCGCCCATCCCATTCATCTGCAGGCATCCATCCATCCATCTGTAGAGGTCCCTTCTGGCACGCGCTGCTGGGCCGCGGGGCGCCCTGCCCCACTGCTGCCTGCGTTATGTAGGTACTCGCTCTGCCACCGCGCCGCGATGCACCTCGCCTCATGAATACCAAAGCGATCTGTTCGTGTCGCGCCCCGCCCCGCCCCGCCCCTGCCCGGGCCGCGGGCCGCGGCGTGTCCCCACACGGACGGGAGATGGACGGGACGCGGGGCGCGCCGGGAGCAGAGAGCTAGTCGGGCGGTTATAGGACGGTGTCGGTGTTGGTGGTGGTGGTTCGGTTGTGCAAGTCCGAGAGAGTCTATCGCAGAGCAGCCAAGAAGAGCGGCGCGTCGGGCCGCCGCCGCCGCCTCAAACGAAACGTTTCGCCGACGCCGCGACTTTGCGTGAGGACGATACGATGCTCTGATGGCGACACGCGTGCTCGGGGGCCCCCGCCGCCGCCGCCGCGCGCTGCTCTAGGACACACACGCTCACCTGTCTGCTGAGCCTACGCGAAGCGACTGCAATGAGCTCCGCGGCGGGGCGGGGCGGGGCGGCCACATGCGCCGCAGACCTGGCCAGAGGCCGTAGCCGCCCCGCCGCACACGTCGCGCGCGCGCATCTGATTTGCGTACGGCGGGGTCAGCGGCGGGGGCGCGGCCAGGGCGGTGCGGCGCGAGCAGCGAGCGGCGCACAGCCCAGCGCAGCGGAGAGCCCGCGGGGTCGGCATACAAAGAGGAATGTGGTGGACGCGATCCCGCACTCCCGTCGCGTTTCACATGACAGGCATAGTAGGCTCGTGTCCGAGCGAACATGGATTGTACGCATCCGCGCTATCGCCCGAGCAAGAGCACCGCCGTGTGTGTGTGTGTATGTGTGTGTGTGTATGTATGTGATGTGAGTGTGTGACTGTGTGTGTGTGTGTGTTTGATGCCCGCGCTGGCGCTCCTAATGGCGCGGGGCCCGCGCCGCCATGGGAATCCCTAACGCTCACCATTTCTCAAGGTCGGCGCCGGGCCGTCGCTCACGTGCCGGGGGCGTGGCAGGCCGCCGCCGCCGCCGCCGCCGTCGCCGCCGTCGCTGCACCGCGCGGCCGAGACCGGCTCCCCGCCGAGCGGGTGGCTGTGCAGCAGCAGCCAGCAGCAGCAGGACGTTAGTGTGTTTTGACCTTTGGACCGTTTGCTTCGATAGGTGCTGGCTGCGGCCGCAGATCTTCTCCCCCGAGCGCTGATCCGCCACTCCAGGTTCATGGTTTCCATGGTGAGTACTCGTTTTCTTCCTCGACGCGGGCGGCGTCCTGAGCTGCTGCGCGCGCACCACCGCGAGGACGCCTGTCGCGGTCTCCCTCCTCCTTGCTCCCCTCGGGGGGCGCGGCTCCACCGCGCCGCGGCGCCGCCGGTGGCGCTGCCGTTCTCACCTGCTTTGAACGGCGGCGGCGGCGGAGCGGCCGAGATCACGTCGTCGCCGACGCCGCGCAACGCCACGCCACCGCAGCGTCGCGCGCCACCGCAGGCGGCTGCAGCTGCCGAGCCGGGCAGGACTCGCGGCCGACGTATCAATCCCGGCGGCGCGACCGGCGACCTGCGTGACCCGGGAAAGCAGCAGGAGACGCGCCTCGGCGGTCCGCCGCACCGCGCAGCGCTGCGGCCGTGGCGTTAGCGGCGTTAGCTGGGCTAGCAGCAGGCGCAGAGGCTCGGCTCGATTTGTTTTCGCACGCTCCGAAGTAGAGTAGTCGCGGTTTTGCACCTGAGCACCTCCACGACTAGGGCGGCCCCCTCGGTGCGGTCTGTTCTCTCCCCTATCAGGCTCAAGCAGCAGAAGGTCTTACGCACAACTTACCACACGGCCCCGACCAGAAGAATGCTTTTCTTTTACTTTTTCGGTCATGCAGATCAAGAAATTCAAATTTTACAAGAGGAAAAAACCTCAATTGTCTTTTCGTTTTCTTTTCTTTTCTCTGCTCCCGCGCGTCCGGCGGGTTTGAGTGGAATACTCCTCCGGTCTTTGCTGATGGCAGTGTACCGGGCACTGGTGGGTACCAGCGAGCAGCGTACGCCAAATTATCATAGCTGCTCAAGGATAAGGGGTCAAATATACACTCGGTGGGGGACGCGGCGTGGCGTGTGGTGGCGCGGGGGGCATGATCGGGCGCAGGTGGGCGCGCTCGTCTGCCTTTGCCTCGTGGAGACAGGTTCGGATACAAAGAGCCGGCTGTGCTGCTGATCGTGATCTTCCTTCCTGTCGTCACGGCCATCGCCGCATAGGTGCAGAGTGAGACCCTCGAGTGCACGTTTGGTCTTCGTGGACCAGCCCCAGCCGGGCCCCCGCGGACTGTATCGCAGGGCGTTTAGCAGCGGACCGCTGGCGGCCCCCGCGCACCTCGGCATCGCGCGCCGGAACCGCGCAGCGCCCCCCGAAAATACCACGCGCGCGCTCGCGGGGGTGGCCGCCTGGTGGCCGCCGTGCCCCGGCCCGACCCATGTTATGGCGTGATTGCATGTTATGCCGTATCGATTTTTAACGAGGGCCTCTGGCCCGCCACTGCCACCGGTGTGTGCTGGCGGGGTAAGGTGGGGCAGAGTGGTGAGGCGGGGCGGGGCGGGGCGGGGGGCTGCGAACTGGACTGACGGTCACGACAACCCTCAATTACTGGCCCCGGGGCACTGGGAGTCGAGCCGCGGCCTGCCGGGTGCCGTCGCTGCGCCCTGCCTCCTCGGCGCCGCCGACGGTAGTGCACCTGAGCGCGAGCTTGTGTGTTACGTGCGTGCCTGCTACAGAAAGAGAGACTAGTGCCGCACCCGCACCCCCTGGAGGAGTGTATACCCGCCACCAGAGACCACCCCTCGCCCGCGCGTCTGTTACGAACCGCTTTCTCCACCCCCACCCCCGTCCTCTTCACCGCGCCCCCGAAATATAGGCAACCTGCGTAGCGAGTAACGCCCCCGGGGCTCTGAAGCAGTTGGCAGGTGGCCGGGGTCGGGGCGAGGGGGAGGGAAAGGGGTCTGCCCCCTCGGTGTATCGACCGGCGCGCGTACTGCACACTTACAGGGCCGCCGTCAAGACGGTGGGAGGGCAAACGCGGCGGCGAGGCCAGGGAGTGTGACAGGCCCCGGCGCGGCCCGCGACAAACTCTCTTGCTACGCCGATGTAAGGCACGGCGCGGCACCGCCACCCCGGCCCCCAGGGCCCTCGGGGGACGGCGCGCTGCTGCCCGTCGTGCCACCGCGGCCACCACTCTCCATACTGGGTGCCTACGACTAAACCCCCGCCACGCCCCGCCACGCCACGCGCGCGAAGCGCTAGTAAAAGGAGCCACGCGAGTTTGAGGAACGGGTTCGTCTCGCCTCGTCGCTGCCCCTCGCGCGCGATACAGTACGTCCCGCCTCTCGCCTGCCTCATCGGCCGTCTCGTCCCGTCCCCCGGCCGCCCCGGCCCGGTGGTAACGAGTAGTAAATGTCATCCGAGCTGATGGCCGCGGGCCGCCGCCGCCGGGCCGGCCGCCGGGCTGGCGTTGATGACGAGCACCGCGATGCAGCGCGCGGGCCGCGGGGCAGAGCGGCGGCAGCAGCAGGAATGTCAAGGCGGGGCACTTCTCTGCCGCGACGGCCGCGACCCTCCACACGGCGCTAAAACTCGGCGCAGAAAAATCGCACCCTCTGTAATGTGCGGCGGCTCGGGCCGACCGTTCGCCCATCCGTGCGTGCATGGTTGGCGGCTTCGCTAAGGTTTTTTAGCGCGTGTTTGCGCGCGCCGAGCGGAGCGTGAACCTGCTTTTGTATGAAAGCTCACGGGAGTCACACAGACTGGCGTGCTGTGTGGGGGGCGTAGCCAGGCGAGGCGCGGCGTGGCGGGGCGTGGCGGAGCGCGGGGCCCGGCCTCCGTCCTCCGTGCCGCGCACTCGACAGTCAGGCACCATTGACATCGCCCGCCACGCTACATCCTTACGTAACCCGCAAGTCGTGAGAACGGCTGGGGAGTGAGGCGCCCGGAGGGACCGGCGTGGCCCGGCCGACCAAAAGTCAAAAAGAGTGCGCCGCGCACTGCAGCCTTTTGGAATGAAGGTGACGACGGCGGGGGAGGGACGTCGCTGACGCGTCCGGGCGCCCGGGTGACCCAGGTGAGGGAGGCCTGGCGCGGGGGACAGAGCGGTGATGGGGTCGACATTCCAACAAATAAAAAGTGTTGTTGGTTTACGCCTCTCTGGAGGGGAGAAAGGGGGAGTTGGGAAGGTTTTTAGGCGCGTTCCTCTGGGGGGCGTAGCGTGGCGCGGGGCGTGGCGGGGCGTGGCAGGGCATGTGGGAGGCGCGCTTCCGGTGCCGCAGTGCTGGCCCGCCCCGCTCAGCCCCGCCCCGTCACGCCGCGTCACGCCCCGCCACGCCCCGCCACGCCCCTCGGCGTGGGTCTGCGCTGGTCCCGCCCGCATATCCGGTGCAGGCCGCCGGGCTTGGCCGGGCTCTGATTGAACGCTCGGCGGCTCGGTCGGCCGGGCGGGCCACGCTGCGCTTGGGCCCCACGACCCGCCCCACCC